CCTACAATAAACGCAGAAATTTTAATTCTCGGTTTATGATACTATAACATGTCGCCGTATCGATCGAAAATCAGCGGTATGACGTCATATTATTCCCGTGCGTTTGGTGTTCAAAAGGAATAGTCAGGTGTCACAACTTGAATAATTTATTGCAACTTAAATATTGTTTTGAGTTTTGATATGTGGTACACGTTATTTCTATACATAAACAAACATATTAAAGGAATAAAAAAACTCGAGTTCCCTATGGCTCGCGTTCGCATTGCGTAATAGGTCGTATCGCGCCGACTAGGAAGTATCCGTTTGGAAATTAACGCGTTTTCCTGTGTTTTATTTTGCGTCGGCGGTTCTGGAACCAGGCCAATTTTCTTGAATACGGGGCCTTTTAATATTAGTTGCCATTCGTGTCATATCTCTCTTACGACTTTTCCGTTTTCGATACGGGCAAACGCACGTAGAAAACGTCCACTTATCTTCCGCGATCTCTGGCGTCTATTTTCGAGTGCAATTTCAAAAGCCGACGCAGCTGTTAAGTGTCCGGATCGTTTCGATGGGGTGGTACACGGACACGTTCCGGACAGTTATTAAATTTTTCGCTCTTAAAGTCGTCGTAAATGTCGGATGTCAAACGGGATATCTCTTCTTTATAGTATATAGCCCGGCACTATTAATATAACTTTATTATTGAAGCCAACGAGTCAGTTTAATCTTTTTTTTTCTTTTATCGTGTATAACTCATAAGATTAATTTAGGTTGGCAATGTTAAAATATGTCCTGCTAACTTCAAAACTTTATTTTTAAAAAAACTGTCACTATGACTATTTATTAACCAGTCTAATTGTTAAGTCTTCCTTAGTATTTGCAATATTCAAGATTCAAATTGGCGGTTTGTCACTAAACCTCCTTTACCAAAGGATCTGACAATAGCTCCTAGCTATAGCGCTAGGTTTGATCTGATTAGACTGAGATTTGATAGCGACTCCTTGATGAAGCTCGTCGCCTCTGGCTGGCTCTGTGCCTGTTTCCTCCTCTTCAGCGATCCTCTAGTAGACCTACCATTATTATTACGGCCTTTCTTGGCTTGGCAGGTCTGCTGTACACTTTGGCGTTGGGCTCTGAGGATTTCTTTGGCTTGCCTTTGTCCTGGCATTTGTCTCTACGATTGCTCCCATCTCTGTTTGCAAATATACCATAGGATTTTTCCAATTTTTCAAAATATATCGGTACTCCTTTTTTTTGTTTTAAGTTTTTAAATCTTCTTCCTCATTATGTATCGTGTAGTTTTGAATTGCTGTTTTAGTGTGATTGTTGTGAAGTAGTCGAACTAATCTGCGAAGGTTTCCCCGTGGTAATCCAAAGATCAGCATTTATCACTCTTTCCAAATTGCAGATCATTCCGAATCCATGCACATTTGTATCAATCCATACACCTTTTTATGGATTATAATATGTGTCGAACCAAGTAAATACTCGGCTGGTCTGAGCGAAGCCTGATTTTTGTAAACTAAAACTAACCAAAACTAAAAATTTCAAAATGTAAAACCAATCTTTTTTAAGTATATTTTTAAATTTATCCACTTCGAAAATTTTATTTTGGAACAACGTCATTCATTATCCATTTCTTCTAAGGAAGTTTGCTAGGTTGTCAAAATGTTTTGTTAACATGTCATTGAACATAACCCATAAATTAACAAATAGTTTCTTTCAAATACTCGTATGGTTTGTAAGAAATGGCTTCTTCAATGCCAATGCAATGTTGTTTCACTTTGATTTGATATCACGTGCGTCTTCTACTGCGTCTACTTCTGTTTATTTTTGGGACAAAGGTGACTTTTTGAAAGTAAAAACGTGTTTTTCGACTGTGAATTCTACAAAAAACTATCCTTTTCCAAAAAGTCCACTTTCTAGACTCCTAAAAATGTAACGTCTGATGCACCCTCCCCAACCCTTTTTTCCCAAAATATTTTGAGTAATGACTTTGTAATAACAATTTTCATTAATGTGCACCATTCCATGTTAACAATGAAATCCAACTTATGCTGTCATTATATTCTTCTCGGAAATTTTCTTCCACCTTACATGGTTACGTTTATATTTAAGTAACAATTCCCGCCCCTTGCCAAATGCGTACATCACAACAAAGGCAATTTTAGGAATGTTGTTTTCATCTTCTGTTTATGGATACACCCTTCATAAAATCGATTTTTTCATTTTAATCCGTCGCAAAAGATCGGCTACGTGTAAAATCTGCGGATATATTTTTTTCTTTAGCCCGCCAACCATCCGAGACGTCGTGTGTCGTCTGGCAATAGAGCGAGACGTAAAACAAGACACGGCTCGGAGATAATGCCTTTGACAGATTTATCAGACGTCGCGATGACGGGCACTGGCAAGGACGCACAAAACCCGAAAAAGATCACATCTTCCCGAAGATTGCCGGATAGTATTACGCTGTCAGTTATTATAAATGCTTTCTCGTTCTTTTTTCTCTCTCCTTTATTCTGTCCCGTTAACAAGGATCTGCTTTTTTTCCGTGTGGTTTCTTTGCGCTCGTACAAATATTGATATGAGATCGTCGTGGTCGATGATTGATTATTAAGATCTGATTTTAGACAAACGAAATTGGGTAAATATGAGTTTGAAAGAGTGATTCTTGATGGTCCGAAAGATGGTCGAGAATTATTGCGCTTGCGCTTGATGTCACTCAAAAATGTCGATCTGGATGGACGCAACCCAACATTCGGTTTAAAAGCAGTATGATTATTTATACGAAATTATTATATTGATATGTACTTAACTGCATTCTTAGGAATTTATAAATACATATTTATTTATTATATGCAATGTATAGTGTATAGTATAGTGTTGTCATCCCAAAAAAAAAAAAAACGTTAACGATGTTATTACCTATTGTTATTGGGTAAAGCCATTAACAAAAAATTTATTCTTACTTGAGTGATAAAGCAGGGGTAGGAGTGATGAGTGTTGATTTGTCGCAGTGTTGAATAATCGCTTTGACTGCGTGTTTCGAAATAGTTATTTTATGAAAATATAACAATGTCGCTTGATGGCAAACAGGTGGTTTATCTGCAGAGGACTTATTAAACAAAAAACTTTAAAAGAAACGTGTACAAAAACGCCAATATCGTCGATAAGGGGTAGTATTAATAGTGAAGAATTGAGGAGAAGGAATAATTATCAAACTCACCGTATAGACAAGTGATCTGGAAGAAGATGGAACCAATATAAATATAAACCGTGCAACCGTGCATAGAGTTGTTTGTACAATGGGATTTAAGTGCGGCAGATTAGACAAAACACAATTAGTAATGGAATAATCACGCAGATTGGAGAAATTATTATTCCCGCTTTGATTATCATGAGGACACGAGTACCGAACTTTTTGAAAATTGGTTTCAAAACCAATAACAGTGTTATTGCCATGGATAACGCAAACTACCACAGGCGTCTGCTACGCCAAGCACCACCTTCATCAAGTTTAAAAACCGAACTTCAGGAATATTTGTTAGAAAGTGCAATTGATTTTGAATCCAGTTACAAAAAGCGTAATTTTTGGTTAGTCCTAAATTCATGTGCAATTAAAAAACAGTATGTATGCTATAATTTGGCTGAACAGGCTGGAAATACTGTTTTACGTCTTCCTCCATATTGTTGCATGCTTAACCGCATTGTCATTAATTTGCTAAAAAAATGTAAAAATGTACCAACCGAGTGTTGGAAGAATTTAGTATAGCACATTATAAAAGTTGAAGACTCTCATATTTCCATACAGAACAACATAAATCCTATTATAATTATACTCAATGACTTCTGATAGTGAAACAAAATTAGATTTAGATATTTAGAATAAAAATGTAATTATGTGTAGATATACCTAGCTAGGAATTTATTGTATATATTTAATGTCATTGTTTTTTCTTAGCGCAATTTAATAAGATTATACCCACCTAAATAAACAATGTCTTGTCTTTTAATACCTACCGGGTTCGAGCTTCATTGCCGTCGGCAGGTAACTTCCATAATTGCGGGCAAAAGCCAGCAAGATGAAGAGTGAGACAGACTATACATCCTGATGTATTAAGTGTTGAGAACAGACCTGTCTATAGGATTACCACGTTTTATGAAAAAGTATTAATTGTTTTTTACCATTTTACGTTAAAAACTTAAATTGTCATGGAAAATCTGCCGTCGCAGCACATTTTCCTTATTTTATCGAGCCAACGCTTGTTTAGCTTGTCCCAAAATATATTCGTCTCTGGATAATCGAAATTATTATTGATTTCATCGGTTTTTTAGAGTTTTATAAGTGTTTATTTATTATTGCGTCTGTGCAACTAAAAAAAAAAAGCTCTGGATTGAGCGGAATTTAGGATGGATTTATCAACTTTTATTTTTTAGAAGTGATTTATAAGTTTTATCCAGAGTGTTATAGCGATTTTTTTTCTTATTATTTATCAATAACATGATTGCAATATGATGACTTATTGCGCAATGGGCAGAATTTTCAACGGATTTATCAAGATGTATTCTTCGAAAGTGATTTAGAAAGAGTTTTATAGTGATTGTTGGATAATTTATCGATGATTATTCCGCTTGCATCACTCCAAAAGACTGCACGATTGTAGTGTGATGATTTATCGCGAATTGAACGGAATTTTTGGGGCTAAATTTATTTGTTGAAACCGAGTCGATTTTATACACGCGCGCACAAAACACCGAAGCGTAAGTCTCGTTAAAATCTATTTTCGTATTCGGTTCTAAAAAAAAAAAGACGGGGAGTGCGTTTTTTACGCGTGCCGTCTCGTTAACGTGTCGCGCTCGTTTGTTTTCCGCAAAGGGAAAACCGTTAGCTCAAATTTATAGGACCCGCATAGGAATCAAGACGGTCGAGCGTAACGAGCTCATTTGTTTTTTTTTTTCTGGATATAGCGGGTACAGTTTCGGATTCTACTATAGGACGTTAATTAATGTCGTTTTAGATGAGGATGCTCTGTCTGCCATCGCTAACTCGAGGAATTCGGAAACTATGGTCCAATTTCAATACAGGGTGTCCCAAATAGGTGGTGCCGTTTTGGCGAATTCATTTAATAAAATCTCATGATTTTCAATTCAGATATCAATTCTAGGACAAAAAATAAGGTAACTCTTGTAATTTATCTTATATTTAAATTTTACTTACTTTTTGAGATATTCGAACTTTAAGATAACATCCCTATAAATTCTTGTTGACTTTCACTCGTATTCATAGTCGAACGCCAGCGAATCGCCGAAAACAACCGCTCGCTGGTAATGTTTCCGGCGAGCGCCTGCATGAAGAAAGAAAATTTTGGTCTTTTCATAGACAGTCGCCAGCGCATCGCTGGCGGGCGAAGAGGATGGCGCATATTCAGCGATTCAATTTTGTTTACATTTTTTATGGTTGTGTTGAAATATATGGGTCTTGATGTTCCTCTTTTCGTTATGGTCATAATACCTAATGCATCGAAAAATTTCTAAATAAAATCAGTTAGTCGACGATAATCGTTCTAGGACGAACCAGTCATTTTAAAAGTTTTCAGTTTTGTTTTAATTTTTATGCAATTATGGCAGTTCCTTATACTCGAGAAGATAAAGAAGTATTGGTCCACATTATAAAAAAATACCATATCATTGAAGATAAGCGAACAGATGCATCAACAATTAAGAAAAAGAATGCGGCATGGGCCAGCGTTACAGACGACTTTAACGCAAGTCGAACTACAGAAAAGGTAAATATCACTGTACCACCTCAAATAATTTTAAATATGGAAATAGTATTTAAAACTTGGGTATTATCTCACAAATCTCAGAAGCATACTTTGAATAACCGTATAAATTGTACATAAATCCAAATGTAATTTTAGCGCACTAGTGTTCAATTAAAACGTTGTTGGGATAAAATTAAAAGAAAACGCAAAGAAGAATTAGCTGAGGAACGACGTTCGAGAATGCTTACAGGAGGTGGTGAATCCATGCCTGATAAAATTTTAATTCCTGGTGTTGATGAAGTTGTTCCGCATTTAACGGAACATGTGGAAAATCCTTTTGATTCAGATGGCAAATTTGAATCAGCAGAAAAAGATTATACAATTCTAGGTAAAACTAAATTCATTATGTGCAACTATTTTTATTCAAAATTATTTTAAAAAATCGAATTTAGACTACATATATTTTTAGATATATCCGAACCTTCACATACAATAACAAAAGACCAGTCATCATTACCAGAAGATAATAATGCACCATCCACATCCTCCACCATCCAGATAAAATCTGTTAGCCAGCGATTCTATTTCTCGTAAAAGGCTATATCCGGATGAGAAAAAAATATTACAAAATATTACAAAGCAAAAAGATAAAGTTGTTTTTGCTAAATCGAGTGGGGACTTGAATGCTCTTTTTAAGGAGAGGATTGTTAATGCCAAATTAGAAAGACAGCATTTAATAGACATCCACGAAATAAACAAACAAGAAGCTATTGAAAAAAGAGAAGAGGCGAAAATTAGAAGGCAAATAGCGGAAGTGGAGTTATCAATAAAAAGGGAGGAATTACGTCAACTTTTATTAAAAAACGATTAATTTATTATCAATTTATTAATTAAAAAATTATTCTAAATTATATTAAGTAATGCCTAATTGTTAATATGCCATATATTTTAGTAATAAAGTTAGATTTGGTTAGTTAATAGGTTTCAATATAGTTATATATGTATAATAGCATAATATAATAAAACTATTTCATTCTGTAAAGTGACGCGCAATCAATGCACGACGAACTCCATAACCTTGAGCATTTCCCCTTACTTGTAAGTTTTCTGGTATATTTGGATCTCTTTCTTCCACCAAAACTTCATCTAGGTTCTCTCCAAAATCAATTCCTATATTATATAAAACCGCACAAGCCACTACTATCACGCAAGTAGTTTCTAATTTAGTTCCTAGCCCTTTCGCCAAACAAGGGAAACGTCTTTTCCACACTCCAAATAATCTTTCTACAACGTTTCTTGTTCTAATTTGGCTCGAATTGTATAAAATTTCGGAGTCGTTTTCTGGGTGCAGTAGAGGAGTCATAAGATATGCCAAACAAGGGTACCCACTGTCACCTAACAAATATCCATGCAAATGCCCTGCTTCAAATCTGGCTTTTAATGAACTATTATTAAAAATCATGCTGTCATGTTCCCTTCCAGGCCACCTTGCAACAATGTCCATAATTTTCATAGATGGTCCAGCAACAACTTGAACGTTTATACTGAATGTACGTTTTCTATTTCGGTATAATTCTGCAACCAAACCACCAGGATTCTTGATTGGTATGTGCGTACAGTCTATACAGCCAACTACCTCAGGAAAGTGCGCAATCTGGCAAAATTGTTCATATATATGTTGTTCTTCTGCATGTGTTGTGGGCATCTTAATAGAATTACGACTTTGAGCTGCAAATATTGTTGAAATTTGTTTTACTATTCTACTCACAGTTGACTGTGTGATTCCTCCAAGATCCCCACAAGTAAGCTGCAAAAATTAAATATTAATACAATTAAAAAAATACATTTATTTAGATATATTTACTGTACAGAAATAAAAACAGAAAGAAAAAGTGAAAATAGATATTAGTAAATACTTTACCTGAAAACTTCCAGATGCATAAAATCGTAATGTGCATAACACTGCTATTAAAGGCGAAACTGGTAAACCACGCTGGTTAACTTTTAATAGTTCTGGTTCCACTAATTTAATTAAATGTTCCATAACTACATTTTTACTGAATCTGTATCGACGTTTAAATTCGAAATCATTGTAAAATTGAACTGGGTTTTGCATATCTCTAATATATCTTTTAGGCATTCTTAAATTAATGTCATCATTTTCGTCGATTTCTGCATTTAGTCGGACAATATTATAAAGGTTTTCCATAATAGTTATAGCAAGTCTATGCTCTTAAATTCAACTGGCGAGTCGCCCGGAGAATGTCGGGACATGCTCCAGTCGCCCGGCGAAAGACAATCGGTTCAGCTTAAACAGCGCATGTGTTCTTTCCTCGAAATTCGACTATGAAACGAACAAAATAAACTTATCCAATCGCCCGCCGGCGAGAGCTTAGAACATCAAAACACCGTTCTGCGCAGGCGTCATTCGGAGGGCGCTCGACTATGAAATAAGAATGAACATTTTCAGGAAATCTGCAACCAGCGGGCGGCTGGCGCTCGACTATGAATACTAGTGTTTTTTAAAGCTGCCCACATTAGGTCGCATGTTGGCAATATTAGGTATTTTTTAAATAGCAAAGACATGATACTACTTCTTTTAAAGGTTACTCCAGATATACGAATAAAACATATTCCTAACAATACCTACATTTTGACATTTTTGTCATCTGTGGCACCACATAACTAACAATTTTTAATTTTAACTAAGGGAAAAGAAAACAAAACTAAACTGCCTCCAATAAAATCAGTACCGTTGAAATTGCTAAAACGGAATTCTAAGGCATCAAGTAAACAGTTCGATAATTCAAACAATTCGTCGTGTCAACATAATTCCTCCTCTAAACTGCACAAAGCAATACCACCCCGAGAAAACTAATCCGGATTTTGTTTGCTGACACACTATTTATTCTAGCTGATTAAGGACCACACTGGGAGGCGGAACTTGCTCTGGAAACAGGGTATCTAGAACACTTTATACGCAGTGGCTGAGGCGCCGGATGTAAATAGATACAATCGGGTGTCTAACCCCACTTTTACAGTAATTCAAGTTTATAATAGTTGACAAAAACATAGAATCAGTCACTTTTCTTACGCAAAACGACTTTCGGCCAATTAAAAAATAGTATATTATGCAACAAGTGCGGTAAACGGCATTTTTACTCACGAGTTTTTAATAAACGAGTGTGTTACAAAGTCTACCGAACGTGTTGCATACTATACTTTTTCTACGACCGTTAGTTTTCGCAAAACAACACGAATACATTGACTGACATAAACCGTCAGAATTGACAAACGTCAAAATTCAAAGCGAAAACATCCGATTGCTCCCAAATCCGTGCGGTAAAATCCCGGAAATGTCCGAAGTGACTCGGATTCGTGGGAAAGAAAACTGACGTGGTAAAGCGACGTTTCCCGCACGCTAGATTGGATAGGTGTTTTAGAGACGGGAGTAGAAAAAAAATGTTGTAGCGCTTCGATGTTATTGTTCAATTTTCGAGATGTCAGTGGACGGAAAATTTTAATAATTATAACAATACAATATAAAAACATTACTTCTTTGACAAAATTGTTACGAGAGAGTTTTGTTTATTGCCATGATCTAATGATCTAATGATCTAATCTAATAATGAGACTCGATAAATTTGCAGGAATAATAATAAAATGTTCTTTGAAGTTATTTAAGGCGAATTCAGATCGCAGTACTCGATTCGTCTTCCTCAGTACACTTGGTAATTTGGCAATTCGGAAGTAAATAAAATAAGTGACGAAGGTAGTAGGGAGTATAAAAAAATCGCACCGGAAAATCAACTGAATAATAAAAAGGGAAAAAACGGATCCTGGTCTCTCTACAAAAGTAGTATCTCGGCGGATACAAATCGCATTTGTAAAACCAATTTAGGAAACAAAAAGGCAAAAGATCGCGGATGCAGTGCATGCATCGAAAACTGATTTCTGCGCTGCGGCTTGTTAGAAAGTTCCCGAACGCCCATCGAAAGCTCGTATTACCTTTATCTTGATCTCTACCTGAGTTTTGTGTGATGCCACCTTCAGAAAGAAAGCTCTCGGGGCACATGAAGTATGTTGTTTCTTAGACCGCCCCCGGTTCTATACTTATCCGGTTCCCTCCAGGATGGAGAGGGTTATTTTTTATTAGTAAAAGAGAACAGAACAGGTAGACTAGATCTATGGAAAAGTTGCTTTATTTACTTATCACCTTTAATGGACCCACCTTTATCACCCTTCTGCCTTCGCAACGAGTCATGGCAAATCCAACCATTCTTTCGTTGCTATTTCAAAGACTAGTTCTGTTAAATGACCGCACCGGAACACTCAGAAGTTTAGAAAGAGTTGTCGGAATTTATTTAGAAAAATCAGCCAGTGAAAATTATGTCGATTAATGAAATTTTAAAGTATTTTGATTTGTACTCTTAAAACGTAAGAGTTCATTTAGATCTACTTTACTATAGCGTACAACTATTGCATGAAACTCTAATATTAATTAAAAATAGGACTTATGCATTCTTATGTCTGTAATTGTTTAATTTAAAACTCTTCCTATTCACTGGGATATCATAATAAATTAGTGTTGGAAATTTGTATATTCTAATTTTTTTTCTTAATGTGGATTTCCAACCTTCAATGGCCATGCGGTGTTGCCAAGCCAGCAGATATAACTTCTCATCAAAGGTTTCTCTTCTCTATAATTTAACCATTTTATAATAAATATACTCCAACTTATTAGCAGCGCATGCTTTTAATTCCCTCTATAGCGAAGAAATTGTCGCATTAATCAGGGCAAATATGCTCAAACGAGTTGCCTCCACCGACAATTCTGCATAATTCTCAAACTTCTATTAAATTTCAGTCTCCAAAGTTCGTCATTTCACTTACACTAACTACGCATAGAGAAACGACGACTTTTAAGCAAATAAACTAAAATCATCGACGGTCCCTCAAAACTCGCGTAGCGATGCGATCGCACAACATCTGGTCCTTCGAAGCGGATGCCCGTTCGGCATTCGAAAATTTAACTTTTCCGGCGGGCGAATTTCGAACACGACGAGCCAAGGACCGTGTAATATATTTCACGGGGGCACGGGGGAGGCAAAAATGTGACAGCGCCAGCACCGAGAGTTGGCACGACTACCGCCGAGTTAACGGACGTGATAAAGTAACTTGCTGGAAGTTTTTGTTATTTTTGCGCGGCGCGATGAATTCGTTCGTAATTTGGACCGAGAAAATGCACAACATCCTTCTCCTTAGTGTTTGCCGCGTTTTCGGGGCCTTTAAAAATAAAGTGATTAACTGACGAACGAATTTTCGGTTCTATTTTCAATGCGGATTTCCCGTTCCTTTTGCATTGTCGTAACACCGGGTTGATGAATGAAGAAAAAAAAAAGTATTTCTGCGTCGCTATTCTTTTACAAAGTGTGAATTACCCCAAAGTTAAACATTCAAATGTGTAGATAAAATCACAGCATCCACAGAATTATATATAAGTTGCATCCATCACTCGAGGCCACTACCTACGAGGGCCGCGTCAAAATTTCCCGGCCTGAATATGAAAGAAACAAAGTAGAGTAACATTTTTTTATTATTTTTCAATATAACCCCCCTTAACTTCAGTACACTTATTACATCTCTTATCTTACACTCAATCCCTTTAAAAAAATATTCTTTTGGTTTGTCTGCAAAATGAGCGAAAACAACCTCTTTTAACTCAACTTCGTCGTTAAACCGCCGATTATAAGGAGGATGATCTATCTGTTGGAACCCACACTCTTGTGCAGCTTGTGCAACACCAGCAGTATGGACAGGTGCATTATCGTGACACGTATACAGTCTCGCTATTTATGTAATAATGTTGCGTAATGTTTACCATTGACAGTAGTATTACTTTCTTTAAAATCTATCAAAAAAATTCCTTCACAATCCCAAAAGATCGTGGCCATCACCTTTTTTGTTGACTAGCAGACTCTGAATTTTCTTGGAGGTGCTTCACCCTTACGACACCACCC